GCCGTACTATTTTGGGTGACCTAAAAGAGGACCTAAATCCCTAAACCCTAAACCCTACTTTAGAGAACTACCCACATGGGGGTTGTTCTCAATGTCTGTCCTATAGTCTGACATTTGCAACTCCACTCCCCAGGGTTTCTTTAAGGGTTTACGGTTTAGGATGCCTTTAAGGGGGTGCTTTAAGCGTTCCTTTAAGGGTTACTTTAAGAGTTTCTTCGAGGGGTCCCTTGTCGGGACATCTGAACCAAGACGGGAACCTACCTTATGAATACGCCGAGGACAGGTAAGTTAGGGGCCTGAGTTTTTGCCAACATCATTCCTCACAAACCCTATTCGTACTTTCAGGCGTTTACATCGTACTTCCAGGGGTTTACATTACTCTGTACAGCTACCCCGTTTGTCCAAAATGCCAGTGTGCCGACCCGATACGGGAAGGTTTGCAAATTGGGCGTGGTCCCGTTTCGGATCACGGGTCCTTCTTTAGTAAACTTCTGCTGTCAGAAATCGCCTTGTCACGAATCCCAGCTTCTGAGATCGTCGTTATCACCGCCAGCCAAATCATGATCATGCTGACCACCATACAAATCATCGTCATCGTCACCCACACCCTTGTTGCAATTGCAATCAGCATCGACTTGTGTTGTTGTTTATTGTCAGCATCATCTTCATCAGCATCGACATGATGCATTTTGTTGCCGTTATTGTTGCAGTGGTCACCGTCCTCGTCGTCCTGGTGGTGGCGGTGGTGGTGGCGGCGGTGGTGGTGGTGGTTATTGTTGTGGTCGTCGTTGTCGTTGTCCTTATCGTTGTCCTCGTCCTCGTCGTTGTCGCCGTTGTTACTGGAGCAAGCTCGTTCTTGCTGACTGTTTGTACCTTAAACCCTAAACCCTCAACCCTAAACCTCAAACCCCTAAACCCTAAACCCTAAACCCCAAACCCTAAACCCTAAACCCTAGTTCTGAGATTTGAGACCATTACGGTAGGGATTAGTTCCGACAGCTCTGAGGATCCTTGCACCATGGAGTTCCTGCGCACACCATAACTCAAGGCTTGATAAATGAGCCGTTGTTGTACCTGGTAGGAAGCCCTCCGAAATCGAAGTCTGTCAGGAACTCGTGGTATCATGGCGTCCCATGTGATGAGCACTGTCTGGGCATCAAGATTAACCTCCCGATGTTGGGCAGCAACTTGGCTAAACACAATCCGAGGTGAAGTTGAGGAAACCGGGGGAGAGACCCTACCCTAAGCCCTAAACCCAACACACCCTAAACCCCTAAACCCTAAACCCTGAACCCTGAACCCTGAGCCCTAAACCCTAAACCCCTAAACCCTAAACCCTAAACCCTAAAACCTGAACCCTAAACTACTATCTTCGAGTCCCCGGTTTTCCGACATTCCCAGGCCCCAATCGCTCGATGCCAAGATGCCTTTCGCTCCATGCAGCGACAAAATCCGAGGGTTTAGGGTTTAGGGT